ATCTCAGAGGGGACATGGATGCATTTAAACTGCAGTTACAGATGCATAAATAATGTTTTGTTTTTAACATAAAACGTTGAATACTGTTATTTGAAATGATTTTAAAACATAAAAAATCAGTCGAAATGTGAAATTAAAACCGCCAGTAGGTGACAGCAAGTGACTGTTAATGAGTGAGTCATTGAGATTCAACCGATCCATTCAAACGACTGATTCATTCAATAAGTAAACTCCGTCCTTTGCTCAGAGACGCAAAACAGTGCTGTGATCTTTGTTTGGAACTATATTCGTTAGCAAAATTGAGCAAAAACAAGCAATATTATGTCTAAAATGTAAGTCACTTATTGCTTTACTGAACTTGTATAAAATGATTATTAAATATGTTCATGCTGATATCTGCAGAGAAACTGTACTCTTTGTGTGATATAGATAAAGTTAACTATATTAAATTATATAAATATCAAAAGCATACTGAAGCATTTTTGCCGTCTACAATTTAGAATGCCTGGCATTTTGAGTTTTAATAGACTAATAAATCAACGTGCGTGCACTCTGTGTGTTATTTAGTGATATAGCCTACTTGATAATGTCAGATCACACATCATTACAACAACACTTACCATATTATCGCAGACGATGCTTTGTATCGTACACCCCAGACTCGACTTGAGTGGAAAATGAATCATCCGCCGTTGTGCGCGCACTTGTTTGCATGTGAGCAAAGGTGTTTTTAGGAGTCTAACTTGCAAGCGCCAGACTACTGATTCGTCAAACCTGCTTTCCTGCAGTCCGTGTTCTTCTGACTTCTGACTATTTTGTAGTAAGTAACGAATATGCTTCGGGGAAATGTATCGGAGTAAAAGTATACATTTTAATTAGGAAATGTAGTGGAGTAAATGTAAAAGTTGGCTGAAATATAAAAACTCAAGTAAAGTACAGATACTCCCAAAATATACTTAAGTACTGTAACGAAATATTATTACTTCGTTACATTACACCACTGAATATAACGTATTGTGACGGCCATGCAGAACCATGCAAGTCATATGTGGATTTAAATCACCTTAACTAATAAGCAAACAGCACACATCAACTAACTTTAGACTATATGGAACTTTAGACTTTAGACTGTATAGAGGAGTGCACACTTCTGCAGCTGTTTTACCTGTTAACCAGTTTTTGAGTTCTTGAGGGGGGAAATAAAAATCATTAATCTCTGCACAGTTCTTTGCACTGCCACATGTATTCATTTTTGTAGTAGTTTAGATATTAATGTAATGTAATATAATATAATTTTAACTTTTTTCTGTTTTGATATATTTTAAAATGTAATTTATTACTATTATTGCAAAGTTTAATTTTCAGCAGTCATTACTCCAGTCTTCAGTATCACATGATCCTTCTAATATAAAATGATTGTAATATGCTGATTTGTTGCTCAAGAAAAATTTATTATTATTATCAATGTTGAGAACAGTTGTGCTGCTTAATATTTTGTAGATTTATTTATTTTTATTTTTCAGGATTATTTTATGAATAAACAAATTCAAAAGAACAGCATTTATTTGAAATAGAAACCTTTTGTAACATTATACATACATGTATTTACTGTCACTTTTGAGAAATTTAGTTTTTTTGCTAAATAAAAGTATTAATTTATTTAAAATAAAATGTTACTAATCATAAACCCTTAAAGGAGACATATTATGTCGCTTTTTAAAATATGTAATATAAGTCTCTGGTGTCCCCAGAATGTGTCTGTGAAGTTTCAGCTCAAAATACTCCTCAGATCATTTATTATAT